GGGTCTTTGATGATTTTCCCAGCCCTTTTCAGACACCGCTTCCTGTATATGTCTTTTATGGCAGGAAGTGGTGCTACAGGAATAAAGCCTGTAAAAAGTTTGTGATGAAAAGAAGAAGTCAGGCACGGGTGGCTTTTCTGTAGCAGACTCATTACACGCTCCTGCAGCACCGCCAAGAGCAGCCACCCAAATCCACAGCGGTTCATAGTGCGTCAGTCAAGAGGACGTGCACTGTCATCACTCGTGCACAGTTGCTATTGTTGCTGTTGTTTGCACACACAAAAAAAATTATGCTGCTCTTTGTGGAGATCTCCTCACAAAACATATTAATTAGATGAGAGAAATCATGACAAAAAGCTGTTATTGATTTAATATATGCGTCTATTCAGTGTGCCATGACAGAGTAATTAACTTGTATTGGCTCTTGTGTTCTCTGAATTAATACACGCAACCCCCTCAACTTCCCAGCTGCTCATCTTTTTCTCATTTTGCCATGCGGCACTGTGTCACCTTCTATCCTTTCTGCTCTTGTATTTGTGGGGCAGAGCTCAGAGGCTCACATGCACTGCTGACTCCACCTGCAGTAATTTGCTTTACCTTGAATTCTTTTATCTGAGTCCTTTTGCTTCAGCCTCTCAGAGATGAGGCAGTGCAGAGCAAAGAGCTGAATTTGTATATTTTTAGTATTTGGAAAGGAAAGGTGTAAACTGAACAACTTCAGTTCATCTTGGCACTGATTCTCTACGTTTCTGGAACTCTGCTGAAGCCCGTTGTTCATGTGTAAAATCCTCCCAGGGTGTTTTTGGGATTGAGATGTGCCAACGATCATTTTCAGCTCATCAAACCATTCGCTGACCTCGTGACCTATGGACGGGGTCTTTAACATCCTGGAAGAGACTACTTCCAGCACAATAGGAAGTTTTCATCTTAGGATGATTGTGGTCACTCAGCACAGTGATTGCAGTGATTTTTCAGAGGCCCTCTTCTTTAAGGTGAGTGCTCATAACAGAACTGCGCCACTCCCTCATCGCCAGGACAATAGATCAGGTTTTTCCTACACCAGCGTGTGGGCAAAGCAATTTTAGGAAGTGTCAAAGGATATTAACACCAGTGAGATACTGGCTTCTGTCAAGCAAACAGCCACACGCAGCTATTGTTGCTGCTGTCACACTTATTAAAAGCAAGACCAGAATCCTGCTGCACAGAATTTATTTAAGGAAAACACGGTACAAGGTGCACGCACTGATTTTTATTTTTTGAGGACATTTTTGTTAAATCTAGGAGGAAATTCAGTGTAAGGATGAAAAAGGTTTTGCTGCACATTATGTAATACAACATAATAGCTGGTTTACAAAGGAGGGCGTTCATCAGCAAGGGTGGAGCGTGGTGAGAACATGAAATCTACAGTGGGATGCAAAAGGTCGGGCAACCTTGTTAATAGTCATTATTTTCCTGTATAAATCGTTGGTTGGTACAATAAAAAA